AACCCTCCCCCCTCCCTCCACCCCTTTGTGCGCGCCGCCAAACCAGACCAGGTTTTGCAACGAGAAGCAGATTCGTTGAGCTGTCGTCGCCCCTGAGCTGCGCGGTGATGCTGTTTTTTGTCGATCGATGCAGACATGCCGACGGCGGGTGGCTTCCAGCGAGAGCGCAGACCTAGTCGTCGCAGCGCCGGCGGGCGCGCACGACGCGGGCGAACCCAGATCAGGCTTGCGTCGTGAAAAGGTCGCGATCCGGGAGGTTTTGGCCGGTGGCCCTCGCCGGGCCCCGGGGCCGTCAGAAAACGGCTCGGGAGAGTGTCGGAGCTTTGGGGGGCCCCGTAATTATGGGAATAATCAAGACATCGCGTGGCTGAGAGTCCGGAGTTCTTGGTCGCAGCGCTGGCGGGCGCACAGCACGGTCGAGGCCTGCGCAGGGACGCTGCAAGGCGAATCGTGCACGAGCGGGCGGGAGGCAGAAGAGGGCGGCCAGGGAGGGAGGAAGGAGAACCACCATCCACCAAACCACCCCAACCCAACCCGAAGGCCCCGATTTGCTCACCATTCCCGTTGGGCGTCGGGAAACGCTGACAAAACACATGCGGAACCCGTACTCCGAGTTTCTTCATAAGCGTCGGGGGGGCGTCACCCCCGCCGACAGCCCCACATCGACCCCCGTCGCGGGCAGACACCGCGCGCCGAAGGCGCTCCAACCCTCGTCGCGGCGAGACGACGAGGGGGGGTTGAACCCCGTGGGGGGGATACCCCCCCCCACGCTTATGAAGAAACCCAGAGTACCCCCCCCCGTCACCAGCCCGAAACTTGGGTTATCGGGTTCGGTCGGGGCGGTCTGGCAGGTCGTCAGAGAAGGGCGGCGCGATCAGGCCACGGAGGTCCTTCGTGAGCTGTGTGGCAGCCACCGCGGAAGGTCCAGAGCCCTGGCATTTTTCGGGCGGGGTAGGAATGAGGGGCGGCCCCAATGGTGGGTGGGCACCAACTGGGTCCGACAGCGGCCCGAAGGGGCCCCTCCAGGGCACTTTTCTTCAACCATTCTTCGGGTCACCCCCCTGTCACCACCCGCGCGAATCCGACGATCCGTGTGTGCTTTCCGCGCGCGGCCCCGGAGCTCAGGACCCCCCTGCTCGGGAGCAGTTGCTTCGCCCCCGGCCAGCTGTCGACGACCCGGGGGCCCGTGAGCGGCTCCGGGAGGCCGAGGCGAAAGAAAGCTCGCCGGGGATTGTAAACATCATCTCGGCGGAGATCTGGGGTAGGGTTCAGATCGCGTCCCAGGGCCCCCGACGTCGTCATTTCTTCGCAGCGTGGGGCTCCAGAGGTCTAGGCTCTTTCGCCCGGGCCGGCCTGTCGTCCCGAGCAGTTTTTCGGCAGTCCCTGGGCCCAGTGAGGCGCCCCCCCGGGGCTGAAAATGAGCAGAGACCTCCCGTCTCGATTTGTCACGGCGCCAGGGGGCTGGGTCCTGGAGCAGGGGGGGAGGGGCGGTCCAGTTTCGTGAGGTGTTCGCGCGTGTTTCTTTTTGTTATTGTTTTTTGTTTTTTTATTGTTTGGAGCATGACGGGCGTCATGCCCCCCCCCCCCGCATGACGTAACGCTCTCCCCCCCCAGTGCGTTCCGGGCACTGCCGCCGTGCGCATCGTGATCCGCAGAGAAGTCTGGTCCGTCGTCGTCGTCGCTGTCGTCGTCGTCGTCGTCGCCTCGTCGTCGTCGTCGTCGTCGTCGTCGTCGTCGTCGTCGTCGTCGTCGTCGTCGTCGTCGTCGTCGTCGTCGTTGTCTTTCGTCGCTCGTCGCTCGTCGCTCATTGTCGTCGTGCGCGCGGGCGCAGCTGCCCCCTTTTTTTTGTAAAAAAAATCCGGGCCGATGGCGGCAATGATCTGGGGGGTGGTGGAGGGGGCCGATGACGTCACGTTTCGCGCCGGCGGCGTCTGGGAATGCTTAGGAATGACCGAGGCCGGGTAGCAGCAGCGTGTCGGTGGCGATCTGCATCTTAACGCCTGTGTACACCACAGTGCCTGCGTGCACCACCGCGCCTGTGTACACCACGCCGCCTATGTACACCACAGCAGCCGCGTGCAACACAGCGCCAGTGTGTGCCAGCCTGCTGGTACCGCAGCGCTTGTGTACACCACAGCGCCTATGTACACCACAGCAGCCGTGTGCAACACAGCACCTGTGCACACCACAGTGCCTGCGTGCACAACAGCGCCTGTGTACACCACGGCGCCTGTGTGCACCACAGCAACCGTGTGCGACAAAGCACCACTGCTATATATAGAATGTTATAAGGATTCTTTATGACAAAATGGAGCGCCCGTGGATTCAACAGAAAAGAAATGTTTCATATGGGATTCGGAAAGGGATCCTTGTGAACAAAGGGAGCGGCGCTGGAATTCAGGAGTTCTCGGGGGCCCGCCCGCATCATCCTAACTTTTCCCATCTGCGTCCAGGAGGCTCCAGCCGTCCGAGAACCCAAGTGGACTGATTGAATAGACCATTCTGCGGTGCACGCAGAGATGCGCACGTGCGCTTGAGCGCCGACCCGCAAGACAGGGGGGAAGGGTGAGGGAGGAGTAGGAGGAGGAGGAGGAGGAGGAGGAGGAGGAGGAGGAGGAGGAGGAGGAGGACGAGGAGGAGGAGGAGGAGGAGGAGGAGGAGGCGGAGGTGGAGGAGGAGGGAGGAGGGGAAACCGTCGCATTCTATCATCAGCACTTCCC